TTCGACGAAGCATCTCGCGCGTGCGGAGGTGGGGCTTGGATGTTCTGATCGGGGGCCTCGGAGCTTGCGCGCGCGGGTATAGGTCTCTACTTTAAAGGTCACGGCCTCGAGACTCAGCGCCCAGCACCTCGGCGCTTCTCGCCAGCGCCCTCGAGCTTGCCTTGTTCATGGGCTTTGAACGAATGCGCCAAGAAACCTCTCCAACTGTTCCGTCGCGAGCCTCGGCTCGAGGCCGCGGCCGGGCTCGACCGAGTAACTACGGGGCCCCGGCCCCGCGGCGACCTCGAGCTCGAGATGCCCGGTCGGCCGGACCGCGAGCAACAAGTACGCTCGCAGCCTTTGGGGCGGCGCCGCCTGCGCGCTTTTCTCGCGGAAGCGGAGGTGGACCTCGGATATGCAGCACAGGCGCGCGCCAGGCCCTGGTTGCTCGGGCAACTGCAGTTATTCTCGGGCTCGGCATTTACCGCTGGCAGCCACTCCTGCTCGACGCCCCACTGGATATCACCCTTGACTTTGCGGGTGGCGGCCTCGAGGTGGTCGTGATCGCGGGCGTCTGGCCCCCGCAAAGAGCTCGCGACGTCTTTGGTCACGAGCGCGTGGGCATCATTCTGGAGCCACGCTCGGAGCGCGGTGGCCTCTATCAACTGGCTCGACAAGCAGTCTGCGAAAGCGAGGCTCTGGTCGCTTTGACTCTCGATGAAGTCGATGGCCCAGGAAGCGACGAGCTCGCCCGCCCAGGCCTTCGGCTGCCCCCGCGCGGCCACGGCCTCGAAGACTCTCGCGCACTCTGCGTCCGTGATATCGAGGAGGGCGCTGCGCCGGCCCCTGCGCGGCGCGCCGACTGGCTCGCCGGCTCGAAGAAGCCCCGTCGCCCCGCTCGCAGTTGGCGTCGCGCCGCCGGGTGCCCTGCTTGAGATGCACGTCGCTCACTCGGCAATGGCGCGCGCGCGGGGCCATGGGCGCGCCGCGCCCCGCGGCGGAGGTGGGCTGCCTGCTCGGGTCGAACCAGCCCTAGACGGTGGAGGTGTTGAGAAGGGTCTATCGGCGGGAGTCCCCTGCGCTCGAATAAGCTTGGCCCACTTGCTGCTTCTGCTCGGGGTGATGAGCGCGGGACCTGCCCCTCTCGGCCTCGGGCCCCCCCTGGCCCCCCTCCCGCGGCGCCCCGCGAAACGCGCGGCGGAGCTTTGCTGCGCGCGGCCACGGGCGCCAGCGGCCTCTATCTCGCACCCGCCAAGACGCGCGCTGTCTCCTCGCCCCGGAGCTCGGGCCAAAGCGCGGCTGCGTCGACGACGGCCGCGCTCGCGCAGGCCCCCCGCTCGGCGCAGGCCTCGGCGCGCCCGGCGAAGAGGCCGGGCTCCTCGGGGCTGCCTCCCGCCGCGAGGCGCAGGAACTAAACGGCGGCGGCCTGGTTGAGCACGGCCATCTTCGCGCGTGCGCAGAGCGTCTTGCTCTTCGCGCTGGAGAGGCGCTGGCCATCGCGCCCGGGCGCGCCTTGCGGATCTGCCGGCGGGGCTTGCAGGTCGCCGGGCGCTCGGCCACGCTACCCTCTCGAGGATCTCGGCGCCGCAGCCCGCGCGGTCGCGGCCCCGTCGGGCGGAGCTGCCTCTTCGAACTCTAGCTCGCAGCGCAACCGCGTCTGGGCCAGCCCCGCCTGGCCTCGCGGCCGCGCTCGCGCCCCCGCGCGAACTTGCGCTCGACGCGGCGCGCGGCGCCCCGAGCGGGTCGCAGGACAGCCTCGCGCCCTCGCCCCCGCGCGCGCGCTGGCGGGCGCAGGCGCGCCGCGCGCCTGCAAGCTCGGGCGCCGTCCTCGCTCGGGCTCGCCACGGAAAGACCCTTTTTCAACAGCCGCCCGCTTCTCGCGCCAGCTCGCGGCAGCCTGGAGGGCCCAGTGCCGCTTCTCCCGCGGCGTGCCCTGGGCCTCTGCGGGGGGCGCGGGAGTTTCTCGATGCCGTGCTCGTCGGGGTGCGAGAACGATCTGGAGCTTGCTCTGGGCTGGCGGGTCTCAGCGCCGCGACGGGGCCGCTCGCGGCTCGCGCGAGCCCTGGCGGCCGGTCCACTTGCCCTCGGGCCCGCGGCATTTTCCGGGGACTAACCCGACGCCTCGGCCGAAGCCCGACGGGCCCAGCGCTCTGCCCGCGGCGCTTGCGCCCTCGGCGCGCGGCCGCAGCGGCCCGGCGCCCCTCGCGAAGGCAGAAGATCAGGAGAGAAAGGGATGGGGGGGGAGACCCTCGGATCCATGATCGAAGACCCTCGCATCCAAGGTCCAATCTGCTAAAGCATCTTCGGGCCCAAGATCGAGGGTGCTCGGATCTCGGGCCCGAGACGCCCGAGGACCCTGGGGCCCATGATCAGAGATCATCGAGCCTAAAACCGAGCCTCGAAGATGGCGCGCCCGATGCTTTTTCTCTGCGGAGGCGATGGGCCGCAGACGCTCGCGGGCGCGCAGCGCTCGCAGCGTTCCCGGCGCCCGGGCCAGCGACGAATCGGATGGCTCGACGCGCTCGGCAACCCAGAAACAACGCGGGCTGGGTCGAAACGCTCGCGAGCTCGAGGCGCTCGGCAGGGACGACCCTCGGGGGCGCGGGCGAAGTCGAAATGCCGTTTGACATCGCGCGCCTCGGCGGCGCTCGCAGCTCGACGGGGCCGCCTTTCTCTCGGCCGCGTCGCCCTCGGCCGCGCGGCGCTCGAGTGGGGCGGCGTAATCGACCAAGGCTGCGTCGCGCTTGGGGAAGCGTTTCTCGGCGCGGTGCCCGGAAGCTCCCCCCCCCCCCCCCGGCGCCCCGCCGCCCGCCCGCGCTCGGAAAGCTCGGCGCGGAGGGCGTCCTCGGGGAGCTCGACGGGCGACGCTGACTTTCTTAGTGGCCCAGCGCCGCTCGACGAGCGCCCGGGCGGCTGCCGCGCGCGCGCGTCCTTCGGGGGCGCCAGGTTCGCGATGGCCCGCCCCCTTCGCTGGCTGACCTCGCGCGGCAATTCGTCGGCGGGCTCGAGCGGCCACTCGGCCCCCTCGCCCAGGCGGCCCAGCAGCGCGGGCGCCCACACCCACGCCCAACGGGGGGCGCGCCTCGCGGGGCGCTCGGGGGCCGGCGGGGGGCTCGCCCAGAGCGGCTTCGACGCGCTCGAAGTATCCCTCGTAGCTCAACCTTGCCACGTTGTCGGCGCCGAGTTCGGTGTCCTTTTGCTTGGCGCCTTCGGGCAGCGCGGCGCGGAAACTTGGCGGCAACTCCGAGAGCTCGTCGGGATGCAGGCCGTCGCCGTCGAAAGCGCCGAACGACCTCGGACTTCGCGGCGCGCGTCGCCCAAAACGAGGCGCAGACCGTCTCGCGGCGGCGATTGTCCCTCTCGGCGAAGACGCCCGCGTGCTCGATGGCCTCGACCTTGCCCGTGTGGCGCGCCGCGTCGAAGATGGCGCCCAGGCCGCTACGGCACTGCGGGGCGCTCGTGCAGTGGAGGAAGCTGCGCGTCATCCTCGAAGCGCCCGACGCCTCCCCGCTCGCCTGGCACTGGCGCATGTCGGCGGCGGTGGCCTTCCCGACGAAGCAGCCCATGAAGTTGATGAGGATCTCGATTTGCTGGACCTGCTTGGCGAGGAGCTCGCCAACTCGGTGATCTCGGCCTCGAGCGGCGCCTGCTCGGAGGTCTGGTCTCTCATGTTCGGTGTCGCGGAGCGGCTCGGAAGCGCGGCGGTCGGCGGCTGCTGCGGCGGCTCGGCAGAGCCCGGGTCTCGAACAGCTGCGGGGGGGTGGCGAAAGGGGCTGCGGTGGGAGAAAAAGGGGAGGGGGATGGAGGAAAGGTAGGATCACACGTTCGTGCTGCGCGGTGCTGACATGGAGCAAATTCCATAGTCCTTCCACACGTTCGCGATTGGGAAATCTAAACATGTAAATAATCCCATGGCCCTGCCTCGCGTTCGCAGCTCAGAAAAGCGAAGACCCAATGGCCCTGCCACGCGCTCGTGCTTTGGGAAAGCTGAAGACGTGAGAACATCGTGGCCCTGCACACGTCCATGATTTGGGAAAGTTGAAGCGATGAGAACCCCAGTGGCCCAACTACACGTTCGAGACTACGGAAGGCAAGGGCGGTGTGGATCCAAATGGCTCTGCCACACGTTCGTGATGTGAGACAAGTGAAACGGTGAGAAAACCCCACAACCATGTCACGCGCTCGTGACGACGGAAGGCTGGAATAACGTGAGTCCCATGGCCCTGCAACACGCTCGTGACTTGGGGAAGGCTGAATCTGTAGGAACTCCAAAGCCCTGCCACGCGTTCGCGATATTGTTGCTTTCCATATAAATATACGACCGCAGCTTCGATCCGTACTGTCCCCAGGGATAAAGAAGTTCGGCCTCGCAACTCATCACCCCCGACCCGAGCTGTGTCTTGACCTGGCATGGTCTACTCTCAAGTGTTAGCGGGGAGGGTGCTTCTTTATCGGGGCCATGGGGTCATGGCTACTACACCGCCCCCCGTCAGACCTCCCCGCGCTCCTGCTCCTGCTGCTACAACTCCCCATCACCCCCATCATCATTCCCCTCATCCTTCCACCCCCTCATCCCCAACCCTCCCCACCACCCCAGTCTTCTCACCTACTCGTTCTTCCGCTCCCGCTCCATTTCATCCTGACCCATCCTCCCCCTCATGCAAGGCTCGTCAGAACTGTTTTCCGCTTCTGTCGTGCTGTGATGTTCGTTCCGCCGTTGGCCGCAAAACGACACCAGAAGGACAAGGGCCCACATAATCGCCAAAACACCATTTAGGCTCGAGCCCTGTCCTCATGCTTCCTTCCCCCCCGCCCCTGAGACGAAGTCAGGACGAAGATAACATCGGGCGAGGGCATAAATCGAGAATCTCCGAGATCCAGCGGCTCTGGAGCATGTCTCCGGCGTCGCGGCCTTCTCAGAGCGTTCGGAAACGATCTGAAAACGCTCCAAAACGCTCGGGAACGGATTATCCCCGTCCTCGCCCCGTCCGGACCCCATTCTTTGGCGAGGGCGGCGGCGCCTGTGAGGGCGGCGCCAGCAGCTCCGGAAACAGCGCCGCGAACTCCTCGGCAGGGCGGGGGCTCGGGAGCGGAGCGCGAGACGGCGAGCAACTGGCCCTCGTGCGCGGTTGTGGTGCACGAGCTGCGTACCTCTCTGCAACATTACAACCTGTCGGCCGGACGTGTTTCTTTTCTGGCCTGTACTTCCCTTGATCCTCTTATACTACCATCCTACCTGATGTTGCTGCCTACACCCTTCCGTCCTCTTGCCATGCTGGTGGTACGCCTCTCTCAGCCTCGACGGTTCGGGGTCGACTAAAAACCCCTGCCCACAGCTCGGGCAATATTACACGGTAAAGCCATTCGCCAGCAATCACATTGCTCGTCCTATGTTGGCAGCGCGTCGTACATAGAGTTTGCCTCACACTGTTCTTGATTGCTACGGCTTGGGGTCAACAAGAACACCCCTGCCCATAACACGGGCAGGTCTATACAGATGTGCATACATGCTGCCTGCCTTTTTGTCCCACAGCCGCACACGTGAGAAACTTGCTCATGTACACGGTTGTGGTGCACAAGCTGCATACCTCTCTGAGGCAGTACTACATGTCAGCCGCATTTACTTCTGTCTGGCCTGTACTTCGCTTGCTCCTCTGATTGGCCATACTGGTCCCTCCTCACTCAGATCCGGCGGTTTCGGGTCAACCAGAAAACCCTGGCCCACAGCACGGGCACGCTCACTAAAGGTACCTTAAACATACAGGCCAGCCTTTGCGACATTTGTACGATCTCATTATATTTCACCTCTCCGTACTTTTGGAGTGGGCTTGGTGGGGGAGGTCATTGGGGCTGGGCTGGGGAGGACAATATGGTTTGGGGCTCACCAGGGCAACCCTGGGCAGCGAACCAAGAACTGCAACCAGCGAAGGCACTTGTTTCTTGTACAGGCATCTTGGACAACAAGGGTTCGTGCTAAACGCTAAACCCGAAAAGAACATGACAAAACACACGAGGGTCCTGGAACCGAGATGGTTCGTGGTAGACCGAAACCACCTAGGCCGCAACCCAAGAACTGCCACACACAGCACTTTTTGTTTGACTTAATGCCTGCCAGTGTTCGCATTTCACTAAACTCTCTTCTCAAAAATCCCTCAGTCCGCTCACGCCCGCTCTACCTGTATCGACTCAGCTTCTGTCACATTGCCTAACACTTGCAACTCTACCTGAGGCAAGCAGTATCAGAGTATCTCGGGTAGGGGGTATATATGTATGTCTGGGATGAAGGCGAGCACTTGCCAAAACATTTCAGCTGCCTGCTTTTCCAACCAAGGCAACACTACCAACTGAACCTATCGGGCGTATTAGATGTATGATCTTTACTCTAAAATTTCCTTGGGCTTGTCTTGCTAAGGATAGTGCCGTCTTCACGGACCTGGCGGGCGCCTACTCAATTGTCTACTACTTAACTGGCCTCGCTTTCCCACGTTGCCCGCAGCGCCCGTCAGGTCTGTTTTTTCCTGAGCCCAGTCGAGTACGTCTTTTGTTGCACAACATGAACGCCACAGGAAAACCTTAGGTTGTCTAACGCAGAAATGGATGATGATGATGATGATGATGATGATGAGGAGGAGGAGGAGGAGGAGGAGGAGGAGGAGGAAAAGGAGGAGGAGGAGGGCTGGAAGGAGGAAGGGAAGGAGGGAGGTGCGGCACGATGCAGCTTGCGAGAGCGAGCTCAGTGGCCCTCGGCCTGGCGGATCGGCAGGGCGAAGAAGGACCCGGAGGAGGACGAGGACGTGGCGGACGAGCAGTCGAATCGAGGCAAACCCAGCGGGGCCAGCCAGGGCCTCACGGAAGGCCCACGAAGGCGAGAACTGGGGAAGGGCAGCGACATCGGTACCTTTCCCTCCTCTCAGCATCGGTGGTCCTCGTGGTCGTCGTCGTCGTCGTCGTCGTCGTCGCCGTCGCCGCTGCCAGCGGCGGCGGCCGCGGGCGGCCGGCTGCGGTCGGCGGGCTCCGGGTCGCGCGCGTTGGCCGACCAGGAGGCCGCCGCGAGCTCGCGGCGCACCCCGTCGGGCGCCGATACGGAGCCGAAGCCTGCGGCAGCCGCGCGAGGTCGCCGTCGGTGCCGCGGTCGCGGTCGGGGCCAATATCGAGGCGACGGCGGCCTCCCTGGCGGTCTTCGTTCTTGAACCTCCTGGAGGCTTCTCGTCGCCTCCTTCTCCTCCTCCTCCTCCTCCTCCTCCTCCTCCTCCTGCTCCTACGCATCCTCCTCCTTCGGATCCACCCTGGGAGGGACCGATTTTGAACGGATTTGGGTCGTCCTCGCCGCCGTCGCCGTCGTCGTGGTCGTCGCCGCCGTGGCGGGACAGGGGAGAGGCCGGGAGGTGGGAGAGACGGGGAAGGGGTGGGGGCGGTAGGACAGGAGGACTGAGGATTTTCGAAGATTGCGCTGCAATCAACACCCTGTGCTGTTCTGTCCTGCTGCCGGCGAGAAGCAAGATCTCCAGCTGGAGCCCATGTTGAAGCATGAGTCTCTATCGTCTCGCACAACTTCAGGCGATGCTTGAGGGTGGGGGGGAGGAAAGGGAAGGGAGGACGGGGACTGGAGGAGAGCGCGGAGTGGAGGGGCGCGGGGGAGCAGGGTGTGGGGGGAGGGGCCCAGGAGGCCCAGCGCGGCGCTTACAAGCACCGAGGCCCCATCGGCCCAGCTGCGAGCGACCTTGTGTTGCGGTAGCTCTGAAACGGCGCATCCGAGACCAGAGCTGACCACGCCCCAGTTAAGTGAAGGGATAAGCAAGGGCTCCTAAGTTCGCGCTTCGCGCTGCGCGAAGCGCGAAGCGCGAATAACTTCGCGCTCTCGCGCCGCCCCCCAAGGGGGAGAAGAGGAGGACGAGGAGGAGGGGGAGGAGGAAGGAGGACCGCGAAGCGCGAATAACTTCGCGCCCTCGAGGGAGCCCTTGGATAAGTTCATAAGTATCAGATCTCGGAGGCCCGAGGGAATGCCTCGGCTCTGCGCTGCGAGCACGCCCCTTTGCCGCGAAAGAGACGCCGCCGGGGAGCCCAGCGCCGACCCGAACAATCCGCGCGGAGCTCCGAGCGTTTACGTCTGCACAGTAGTCTCCGATTCCCAAAGGGGACTGAGGAGCAGGAGGAGAAGGAGGGGGAGGAGGAGGAGAAGGAGGGGGAGGAGGAGGAGGAGGGGAGGACTAGGAGGGGGAGGAGGCGGAGGCGGAAGAGAAAGCCGAAGCCTCGACGGACGGGCTAACCGCCACCGCCGTCCATCAACACCGTCGTTGTCGTCGTCGTCGTGGTGGTGGTGGTGGTGGTGGTGGTCGTCGTGCTCGTCGTCGCGGTGGTGGTCCTCGTCGTCTTGCTTATTGTCGTGGTGGTTGTCCTCATCGTCGTGATCGTCGTGTCGTGGTCGTTCTCGTCGTGATGATCGTGGTCTTGATCGTCGTCGTGGTCGTCATGGTCGCCGTGGTCTTGATCGTGATCACGGTCGTGGTCAAGGGGTTGAACGGCTCCTTCCGATTTTGAGGGCCTTGGAGATCGCCCTCGTGGCCACGGCAAGACTCGGGGGCCACCATCGTTGCCATAGGGAGATTGGTCGTCGCCATCGTGGTCGTCGTCTCGGTCCTCGCCGTTCTCCTCCTCCTCCTCCTTCTCCTCGTCGTCGGCGACGCGGTCGTAATCATCGTCGTGGTATTCGTCGTATTGTGCCGCGGTGGTGGTCTTGGTCGTGGTCGTGGCCGTCTTTGTCGTCCTCCTCCTCCTCCTCCTCCTCCTGCTACAGACTTGTGGGTCTCCAAGAGCCTCCTCCTCCTCCTGCTCTAGATCCACATCCCCCGAGTGACGAGGATGAGGGGTAGGCGAGGAGGAATAGAGGAGGATTGGACGCTCCTTCTCCAACCCCGATCATTATCTTCCTCTCCTTTTCTCGTTTCCGCCCCCTCATCCCCCTCCTCCTCTCTTACAATCGGACCTGGGACAAAAGAACATCCTCCACAACATGAGGACCCTCTGCCAGCCAAAACACACAGAACAGCAAAGGGTGCCCTCCCCAGAATGCACAAGAGTATCCAACAAGCACAAAGAACGTCAGCGTACAGTCGGGGCGTTGACCTAAGGAACCCTAAATCAGGAACAAAACCCATGTCTTCCACACATTACATTTCGATTCCCCATCGGCAACATAAGAACGACCGGATGCAAACCGTGAAACGATCAATGAACACGGAGCCCCTCCCCAACGAAAAGGGTTCCTTCTTCAGCGCCCCGACTGTACCCTCCCCGAACCGACCTCGATCTTACAGCCCCGTCCGACCCCACGCCTCGGCCCCAGACCCCAGACATCCGACGATCCGATCTTTGAAGGGGCCCAAAGACACACACAAATTACCCTGGCGACGTACCCAACCCCTGCGCAATGCGGGGCATGAGTAGCTTGGGAGACGTTATACGGAGGTGATGACGTGACATGGTCGCATATACTTCTGCGAGCGGCATTCGTAAGGCTCGCAGCCCCCCAAGGATTGCGATGTCCTGCTCAGATCTGCCTGGTGCCTCGCTCCGCAGGGCCCACCAGCAGCCCTCGAAAGCGGCGACGGTGTCGCAGATCGCAGCCCCCCAGGGACGGCGAGGCCCCGCTCAGATCCGCGCGGTGCCTCACTCCGCAGGACCCACCAGCAGCCCTCGAAAGCGGCAGGGACGGCGAGGCCCCGCTCAGATCCGCGCGGTGCCTCACTCCGCAGGACCCACCAGCAGCCCTCGAAAGCGGCGACAGTTTCGCAGATCGCCGCCCCCCAGGGACGGCGAGGTCCCGCTCAGATCCGCGCGGTGCATCACTCCGCAAGACCCACCAGCAGCCCTCGAAAGCGGCGACAATTTCGCAGGTCGCAGCCCCTCAGGGACGGCAAGGTCCCGCTCAGGTCCGCGCGGTGCCTCACTCCGCAGGACCCATCATCAGCAGCCCTCGAAAATGGCGACAATTTCGCAAATCGCAGCCCCCAGGGACGGCGAAGTCCCGCTCAGGTCCGCGCGGTGCCTCACTCCGCAAGACCCACCAGCAGCCCTCGAACGTGGCGACGGTTTCGCAGATCGCAACCCCCAAAGGACGGCGAGGTCCCGCTCAGGTCCGCGCGGTGCCTCACTCCGCAGGACCCGCCAGCAGCCCTCGAAAATGGCGACAAATTCGCAGATCGCAGCCCCCCAGGGACGGCGAGGTCCCGCTCAGGTCCGCGCGGTGCCTCACTCCGCAAGACCCACCAGCAGCCCTCGAACGTGGCGACGGTTTCGCAGATCGCAGCCCCCCAGGGACGGCGAGGTCCCGCTCAGATCCGCGCGGTGCCTCACTCCGCAGGACCCGCCAGCAGCCCTCGAAAGCGGCGACAATTTCGCACATCGCAGACCCACAAGGTCGGCGAAGTCCCGCTCAGGTCCGCGCGGTGCCCCACTCCGCAGGACCCACCAGCAGCCCCCGAAAGTGGCGACAGTTTTGCAGATCGCAGCCCCCCAGGGACAGCGAGGTCCCGCTCAGGTCCGCGCGGTGCCTCACTCCGCAGGACCCACCAGCAGCCCTCGAAAATGGCGACGGTGTCGCAGATCGCAGACCCACAAGGACGGCGAGTCCCGCTCAGGTCCGCGCGGCGCCTCACTCCGCAGGGCCCACCAGCAGTCCTCGAAAGTGGCGACAGTTTTGCAGATCGCAGCCCCCCAGGGACGGCGAGGTCCCGGTCAGGTCCGCGCGGTGCCTCACTCCGCAGGACCCACCAGCAGCCCTCGAAAATGGCGACAATTTCGCAGATCGCAGCTCCCCAAGGACGGCGAGGTCCCACTCAAGTCCGCGCGGTGCCTCACTCCGCAGGACCCACCAGCAGCCCTCGAAAGCGGCGACAGTTTCGCAGATCGCAGCCCCACAAGGACGGCGAAGTCCCGCTCAGGTCCGCGCGGTGCCTCACTCCGCAGGACCCGCCAGCAGCCCTTGAAAGTGGCGACAATTCCGCAGATCGCAGCCCCCCAGGACGGCGAAGTCCCGCTCAGGCCCGCGCGGTGCCTCACCCCGCAGGACCCACCAGCAGCCCTCGAAAGTGGCGACAGTTTCGCAGATCGCAGCCCCACAAGGACGGCGAAGTCCCGCTCAGGTCCGCGCGGTGCCTCACTCCGCAGGACCCACCAGCAGCCCTCGAAAGGGCGACAGTTTCGCAGATCGCAGCCCCCCAGCCCGAGCTCGCCCGGGGGGCGGGCCTGTCTCCGCGTCGCTGGTGAAGAAGGAGAGCAGCCCCACCTGCGATGGGGGGCGAGGGGAAACCACAGGGGGGCCGATCTCGATCGGGAGCGGCCAAGAGGGGGGTGTCCAAGAGGGGGGGGTGCAAATCATGCCCGGCGGCATGTGCGCGGCTCAGCGGGGGGGCCAGTGACGTGATGAAAATAAGAAGAGGCGTCAGGACATCTGGGGAAATATCATGGCCCCCGCCATGATGTCCCCCCCCCCTAGCCATCACCCCCCTCTCTGCCGCCCCCGAATCTTGAGCCGCCGTCGTCTCCACTTGCCCTCCCGGGAAAAGACAAACAAGCATGACCATAAACTGTCCGACCTCCGAATGTCTCTGCGTGTGGCATGATCTGTTCCCCGAGTGGGGGGCAACGATGGGGGCGGGTCAGCTCAGGGGGGGGCCAGACGAAGCGGGATCAGGCTGGGGTGGGCCTGGGATCTACCAGCGCCGATGCCGAGTTAAACTTCCGAGCAAGCGGGCGAAGCTACGAGGGGGAAGGCAACGGGAAAAGCAAACTGGCGGCGGGCAGAGGGGGGTAGGGGGAGTGGGGAGCCGTCTGGGATTGAGGCTGATTCTTGGAAGGTGCTGGCCCTACATTTACAGACAAGGCCGGCGCCTTCTAAGAAGCCGGGGTGAAGCCTTCCCCTCTCCCCTTACCCCCTTCTGCGCGTGGCCGACCCCTGCCATGTTTTCAAGTCATAACTCGGGCCTTCGGCGGCCGTTCGGGACGATCTTGGCGCCCCCAGAAACCCTCGACGAAGCGCAACAGTCAGAAGGCACCCCGAAGCCATGAAGCCGACGGGAACATCAGAAACAGCACCGTCCGAGCCTCAAACCTCGATCTTCCTCGATCCCCTTGCCTAGGTGTTCCACCCCCTTGCGTGCGCGGCTTCAAACGGGCAGTGGGGATGGAGAACATTGGCAGCCCCTTCCACGGACCACGCCGTGCCGGCCTGACTCGGCGGCCCTGGGGCGAAGCAGGGCCGGGCCTCACACACACACACACACACACACACACACACACACACACACAACACACACGCACACGCACACGCACACGCACACGCACACGCACACGCACACGCACACGCACACGTACACGCACACGCACACGCATACACACACTCACACTCACACTCACACTCACACGCGCACACGCACACGCACACACACTCACACTCACACTCTCACGCTCTCACACTCTCACACTCTCACTCTCACACACACACACACACGCACACACACACGCACACACACACACACGCCGCATCCAAACGCGTGCGGGGGGGTGCTCGGTGAGTTTCAGACGTTTTTGTTGTCATTTGGCCGTTCCCCCTGTCCCCCCTCCCGCCCCACCCTTCACTCATAAATCATTATGTATATTCCTCCCCCATCCCCTAGCATTGTAAGGCCAAGAGTTATGCGCACCTTGCGCTTCGAGGGGCGATATCCCAAGGTCCCACGGTCCAAGGATGCGGCGCATACGGATATCACTGCCCTATTCCACCCAGGGACCGAGAATCCTCCTGCCCACTGCCTCATAGGGTCGTTGGAACATGGCTGACGAAGTTGCCCGCGCAAATCCAGGGCCACTAAGAATTAAACTGTGGATGTGATGATGGTTTCCGTAAACGGACGAAGGCGGAATGAACGGCACGTGCAGACGGACAAAGGCGCGTCGACAAGGGCCCGCGGAAGCACGGCCAGCTTCCGCAAACAAGAGCTAACAAGGCAGCGGCAGGGGGAGACCATCACAACGGGCAAAATTGAGAACACACAGGTGAACTACCATTCGAGTCTGGTGCTCAAGCCCGTCCGTCGTGCATTCGGTAGGACAAGTACAAAAGGAACACTCTACGAACCGCCCCATTCATAAAGATTTGTCTGGCTGCGAGCAGACGCGTTACATGTGTTCCAGCATGTCTCGGAATTATCAGACTTCACTTCGTCCCGAAGGCACTTGGGCCCCCCGCGGCGCCAACCGCAAAATGTTGTTCTACGGCGCCTGTGGCAACGATCCAGTTATTCCTGACAGAGCCAGCTCATGAGGCTAGTTCGAGCAGGCTAACCTATCACCCAGGTGGAACGATGCGAAATTATTACAGGCGAAACTGCTGAAGAACCGAAAGCTGCACGGACACAGTCCGCGCGAGCCTACTCACTCGAATGCCTACCTCGTCAATATCGCACGTTGGTCTCCGATATCCGCTGTCCGACTCCGTGTGGCCTCGTGGCGCAGTCACAAGAATGGTCGTCTTGCTTTGGCTTGCGTGAGTTCGGGACAGTCCTCTTCAGCTTCTCGTCGCTGAACTTGACAGTGGCGTGATCATAGCTGATTTGTCCATCGCGCTGCGGATTAGCTCTCGGCCCATGCTGCCCTTGGTCATGGGGTCGGCCCGCGCATCCTCAGTGTGGCACCAGCGCTAATCGTCGATCTGCTCGGTGCGAAGGTGGTCGGACAAGGCGCCGCGGGTGGCCAGTCAGGCTGTTCTCGGGCGGCGGCCGGGCCGGATGCGTGAGCAGGGCGCCGAGGCGGAGGTGCCGTCAGTGACGAGGACTGCTAAGAACCGCGCTGCCTCCTTCCTCCCCGAGCCCCCCTGATCTTCCCGGCAGAGGCGCGGTCGCGCGTCATCTCGCGCAGCGCGAGGAGCTGCGCCTGCAGGCCGTCTGCTGCACCGCGCGCTGCGAGCAGCTCGGAACCGACTGAGGATCTACATGTGAGCGCGTGCTATGTGCTCGCAACGTCCAGCAGGCGGCACGCCCGCGTGCCGGCGTGGCGGCACTTGCCGCATCCTAACTCCTCCTTCTCCCTCTTGTTGAAGGATTGAAGGACCCGTCGCTGCGCGCGCTGACTCGCCCGGCGCATTCCATGGATGGAAATGCGATGCGCGCCGCGATTTACTCGGTGGTCAGGACAACTGAGTTGGGCTGCATCACGCGTCGGATCTGCAGCTCGGTCTCAGTTCTCTGCGGGGCGACGACGAACGCTGCGACGCGGTGCTGGGCGAGCGCGCGTAGGCCGCTGCTCACAGACAAGAGACGAATAGGTCGGGAAGCTGACCTCCGGCCGGCTGGTCAGCCTTGGCCTTGACCAGGTCGACGTGTTCGGTCGGTATCAGGGCGTCGATGTGATCGGCCTGATCGAGAGCCGTGCCATCGGCACTGCGGCGGCGGCGCGCTCCGCAGTTAAGGATGTCGCCGAAATCGCCCTTCATGCCGGAGACGCTCCCGATGTGGCTGATGAGACGGTCGGGTCGACGTGCCTCTGTTGCCCAGCTATCTGATTATCCGCATGCTGGGGCTACGTGAAACCTAGCTCCGAGACCTGCCACCGCGAGGCGCAGAAGATCAGGTGGAAGATCGCGCGAGAAATTTAAAACATGATGTCGCACTCGACGCGCTGGTTGAATCGCGTCGACCGGCGAAGTGCAGGGATGGTCTGGCGCGCTGGCGGTAGCCACCTGCGACGCCCCCTACACTTGTAAACCGCTGTGAGGATGAAGTTGAGGATATCATGCGTTATGTAAGCTGCTGGTTGTGCTCGGGCCATATCCTCCTCGGCGGCGTGCCGCCACCGGAGGTGCAGCTTGCGCAGATCCCGCGCGCGCTTCATGCGAGTCGCTGCGGTGCGCTCGCAAGAAGGTAGTGACGGCGAAGCAAATCCAGTCTGAGGGCATTAAATTACCTGCAGCTGCGCCTGTTACTCGTGGCGCTGCTCGGCGAGGCTCTGCGCCTGATGCTGGACTAGCTCGCATCCCTGGTAGAGCGACGCAGTCGCCCAATGCGGTGCCCTGAGCGCTGGCGCTGGATGATGAGCTGGCTCCTAACCTTTTTGCGGACATGGGTGGTGCCGCAGCCTCGTCTGCTGCTCCATGGTCTGCACCGCCGGGCAGCTGAGCTTGCTGACCGCCGGAGTGACGTGGTCCTCCAGATCGCGCTGGTGCTCGCGGGCGCTGGCCAGCGCGCGGGCGCGGCCGGGCGCGGGGGCCCGCGAACCTGCACTTGCCCAACTCGTTAATGCACGCGGGGCGCGCTTGCTTGCCCGGGCAGCGGAGGTCGGAGAACTGCCCGGGGACCCCCGGAGCATTGAGGATTAGCTCAGCGGTCTGCTTCAAGGTGCCTCCGCGGCGATCTCGAAGTCCAAGCTGACGCTGGTCCAAGATGACCTTGTCCACGCTCGGTAAAGCCAGCACCTCTGGCCGCGGCTTGGCGCCCGGCAGCGGTGGCTCGGGCTGCCCGTTGATCGACGAAGTAGCCGCCCAACTCGATCTGAAACTGCGCCAGGCATCCGCAGCGTCGGCCGTGCGAGGCCGCGCCATCGTAGGAACGCTGCCAGGCGCGGCGACTCCCTGCGCAGTTGAAGGTCACCCAACGACCGAAGGGCTGGAAGGTCGGAGCAACGATGGCCAGTAGAAGCCAATGTTTTTAAGGAACAGAAAACATCTCGTTCTACGCCTCGCCGCTGGCTGTCGTCGTCACGGTCGCAGCCTGTAACCGAGTCGAGGATCTCGCGAGCTCTGAGGCGGCGGCGGATAGCCAGTCTGCTGGTCCGCGCCCACCCCACCGCATGCCTCCATGATGTCGGGTCGGCACCGTAATCGAATGAGGTGAGGTGAGGAGCTGGTGAAAGTCGTCGAACTTGGCTGGCTGGGTCGTTTGGGCACTCGCAAGATATCCGATGCCGGGACCGATGAGCCCTGAACCACCAGGTGGGCAAGCCTGAGATGAGGCTGCCCTGGGTGCCGTCGTCGTCGCACACGTCGGTTTGACCCGGCTCGCCGAAGGCTGACAAGCCCATGAGAGATGGGGCCCGACCTGTGAGGTCGGTGCCTCAGTCGTCGTAGTGGTCCTCTACCTGCTCGCGCGAATTGGGCACCCGGCCCTCTTTAATCTTCGCATTCTTGCGCATGCGCTCTGCTGGAAACAGGCGCTGGCGACGCAGTCGCCGAATGCCTCCCGTGGTTGTTCGCTAACTTTAGCTGTAGTTGAATGGCGTGCGAGGTCGTGGTGC